GAAAAGAGATGGTTTGAAAGGGGAGTAAAGGAAGCGATTTTTGTTAAAAAATTTTCACCCTCTCTGAACCGTGAAGGAGGTATCAGATTTAACCTGTCTCCTATTTACAATAACTTGTTGACCAGTAAGGGACATAGACATGCTGATCAGGCTAACTGAAAGTAGCTATTCAGCCTTAGCCCAAACAATAGGCCTAATCAAGACCCAATGATAGGGAGTTTAGAAACCAATGGGCCTCTTCACCATAGGGGCGTGACTAACCATCCCCACCCAGTCCTCAAACAGGCCACGCTCAGCCTTTTAGCGCAGAGCAACTTCCCGGAGTCTTCACGGAGACTTCAGGGTTGTCTACCGCTGACGAAGCTTCTGTGAGAGAAGCGAAACGTCCTTTTTTGTTTTTTGTTTTTTGTTTTTACCCACAGGTACAGATGACGACTGACAGAACCCTTTCTACGAAGTATCTACGACTAAAAATCACATTTGGCCGCTGACCAGTGAGTCTCACTGCGGTACAACGTATACGTTTGCAAGACGACGCGGATTAATCCTTCACATCGACTAAAGAGTAACTATTACTTACGAAGTCCCATTTCGTCCGTGTCGTTTCACACAGTTAAACAGCTCGGTGACTTGTCCTCAGATAGCGGACTGTGTCGTAATGATGAGGGAGGGGTGTGAGGACAGATATGACATCGAAAAGGATCACCGGAGAAGTGGTCTGATTGGTCTGAAACACCGGATGCATGTTATTGGCTTGGAGTACTGTCAATCACTTGTTACTTTTTTATTTTTTTTTTGCAACACAGAAAGTGAAAGTGTGGGTCGTCACCCCCTAACTTCCTTTCGATTGCATGCATTAATTCAACAGTTGAGTTAAATGTGACTTTCAAATCCCGTGCTGCGGATGGCATTTGAACCAGGAGTGGTTTACTTTAAGGTTGATCGCTGTTACAGTTGACCACTGTTGTCTTTAACAGGACCTTGTAGTCACGTGTCAATTGTGCGCATGCGTGCCATCGAAGGCTCGCACGGCGTCCACTTTCGCTCGCCCCAATTTAACGCTGAATGAGATAAACGGTCATATTTAATCGGCAAACTCGCTCCCTCGATTGATTTGTCTCGAACAAATTGTTTGTGGACCGACGCAGGAAGCTCGATGTTGGCGTGTTCTCCCCGTGATTTTTAAATTCCCCCCCCCCCCGAATAAAAGGACAAAAAGAAAGCGTTCCCAGAGGAGGGGTTTTTTCCCCCTCATCTGTTCTCACTTTTTGTGTAATGGCCAGGTTTCCCCACAATACTTTTGTCCATGTAACGCATGACAATCAATAAAAGGACAAAAAGAAAGCGTTCCCAGAGGAGGGGTTTTTTTTCCCCTCATCTGTTCTCACTTTTGTGTAATGGCCAGGTTTCCCCCACAATATTTTTGTCCATGTAACGCATGACGATCAAGACTTTTGTGGGGTTAAAGTGTTGTCCTACTGCCCTTTTAGAGCCTCCCCTACAAAGGCAGTATCCTAAAAGGCCTGAGCCCCGGGCAGCACATAACCATCAAAGGACAGATCAGCATGTATCCACACAGGTAACCTAACCACTGCATGATATCGATGTTGGTCAGAGAACGCAAAAGCTTCCTGTCAAAATCTTAGCTTCTGCTCCCAAACGCTCTCGCAGCGTTACGGTGAACCTGTGCAACAGCAGAACGGAGAGCATCGCTCTTCACCTCAACCCTCGCATGAAATCCAGCACGTTCATCAGGAACTCGTACCTGAATGAATCCTGGGGTCAGGAGGAGCGGGAGTTAGTCTTTTTCCCCTTTTCCCCTGGAGAGTATTTTGAGGTAAAGGACACCTTTTTTTTAAATTTCTTTCAAAACAAAGGGCTTGTGATTGAGGAGTGTGTATTTTCCTGTCAGATTCTCCTGCTATGCCAGGCGCATCAGTTCAAGCTGGCAGTGAACGGCTTGCACTTGTTTGAGTTCAAACATCGGGTTCAGGACCTGAGCACCATCGACCTGCTGGAGATAATGGGAGACCTGGAGCTCATGGATGTCAAACTGTGGTGATCCAGACTGCTACGTTCCTTGGGGGTTTCGTCGTGGGGGTTTTTGTCAACCCCTTCTCTCTCAAATTTTTGTTTCTCATTTATTTTCCGAGCTTGTGTTCTTTCAATCTTTTATTGTGTCACGTGTGACATTGGTTCGCTTCTTTTGAGCCTCATGTCACAAGAATGTAACAAAATAAGACATGCGTGAAGCACATCAATTTTATTTTGGATTACGCCTTCCTTTCTCATCTAAGTTCTTGTCTATAAAGTGTCTTGTTTTGACTTGCCATGACTTTTAAGATTCTTGAAGTGTTACCTAAAGCTCTGCCTTTACAGTTAAATCATGGAGGAAACATTGTCACCAGTATTTTAAAGTGTTCGCAAAGCATGATGGAAACTCAGAAGTCATACCATAAAATTTAAGGTGATGATTTTGATTCAAAGAAAGGAAACAGGAAAACCATGTATAATTTTTTTGGTGGCGGTGTCGGAGCGTAAAGTATAGCTGACGGAATTTGTGTCTCGAAGTCCCTGCGCAGTGACTTGACAAAAAAACAAAACAGGCAAATACAGTGATCTTGTTGCTCATTTTCTTCAGCATGTACTGGAGCATCATCGGTAAAGTGACGTCACTGCAGGATAATGAAAGCCCCTTTGTGAACCGCCATTATTCTTCAATCATTATTAAGACAAGAAACACACAAGCCTTTTCTGGAGAAACTGTCTGATGCTTTACAAAGATATGGCTGAGTGTAATTGACCATTTCCAAGGGGTGTTCATTTAACAGTATGTTCACTTTTGTAAATTTGCAGTGGTCAAGAACAATCATACTGAGGGGGCTTTAATACTTGAATCAATAAAGGGAACAATGTTCTTCACCCTGCACTTTGAGTCACTATCGCCTTTGTGGAAAGTAATGACCAAAAATATCTTTCACTTTTGCAAAGACTTGAAAATGTGTGTTTTCTTACCTAAAATGCGTAAACTTTTTATGGACTTAGGACATGTTGATTTTGGCACTGGTTGTCTATGCCCATCGATAATCTGAACCGCTTTATCCTCACGAGTTTCGTTTGCGTGCTGGAGCCTATCCCAGTTTACTTCGGGCAGTAGACGTCGTACACCTTGCACTGCCAGCCAATCGCAGGGCACACAGACAACCATTGACACTCACAATCATATCGAGGGACAATTTAGAGTGTTCCATTAACCTGCCATGCATGTGTTTGGAATGTGGGAGGAAACCGGAGTACCCGAAGAAAAACACACACGGGTCAACAGCTTTTTGGCAAATGGTTTGTGAAACTGTACCTCGCTTATTCAGCCACAAGGTGTCAGACGAGTACTACAAACTAACTAAAGACAGCTGCTTTAGCCGAACACCAAAGCCTTCCTTTAGAAGTCAGGTGTTCTCACTGCACAAGTTAGGAACTTAAACAATTTGGCATCAGATAAAAAGTAGGTGATTTATTTATATAACTTTCATAACCATGGTACAATACAACTGTCATCCCCCTCCCCAACCCCGAATAAAAAGAACGATACGCAATAGGGTGACATCAACTATTGCAACGGCTGAGAGTGTACATAGGGGGAAAAGGTATAGAAAATACCGCCCAATCAACAACGGGCAAATAAAGCTTGGTTTGTACTTGACGCACGTACGTTCGGTGCAGAAATGAAACGTGAAATCAGGCTGACAACTCTTGCAGCATTTGTACTCTGCATGGCTTGCCCAGGTTGTTAGCTGATATCCTGCCAGATTATAAGGGGCAGTGACAAGCGTCGATGGCACGGGTTCACCATCTCCGATCCTCGAGGGCCACCATCCTACATGTTTTAGATGTCTCCCTCCTCCAACACACCTGATTCAAATGATCAGGATGGTTATCAGACTTCTGGAGAACTTAACTGATGCTGATTAACAGTTTACAGGAACAATTACAAAAAATGGGTGTACTGTCTACATCTACATAAAAAAATTTTTACAAAGAGTCGGGAAGTAGAAAACTATTGTTTTCACAACTCTTGCTTGTCCACGTTTCACCGCGTGGAACCTTCTGGATGGCTATAAATTTTCATGGGTGCGCCGTGAGAAAAATTTGGGCAATGCTGATGCCGCACGGAGAGGCGTGGTTACCGAAATAACAAATTTTGCTGCGCAGACCTCACGGATGCGGCAAGCATAAACCAAGTTTAAGACTGTTTGGTGTGGGGGTTGGCGGGGCAGTGAGACGGACAGAAATTGAGATTTTTTATTTATACAAAAAAATACCAAGAACCGTCAAAAAAATGTATACATTTTGTTTGAAATGTCTGAGACTGTCAGACACACCATTTTGGAAAACAAACCCTTGGGCACATTAGACGAGGAGAGATTTCCCATTAAGTTCAAAGGGAGTGACAACGCGTGTCAACACAGCAGAGAGGTTTGGCAAGGTGTTGGCTGAGGTGTGCTCAGGTCCCTTATCAGTGTCCAACAATGGCAATTGGTGGGAGCCTGTAACCAAAGTTGACTGCTCCCTTGTCAGAAAGTGGCACGGGTTTGCATGTGTTCAGTTTCGTTCTCAGACAGAGCTGAGTTTGACCAGTCCTCTGACAGAGTCCTCGTGAAGCGAGTCCTGGCTGGCCGGATTATAAAAGCCGGCTTGCACTGTGTGGCTGTGACCCAGGGGGGTGTTGCAAGGAAGCATACCTGGAGGTGAGGGCAGGTCCTCTGGCGTGAGAAAGTGGTGGTGTGCAACCTGGTCCTGGAGGGGGCGACTGTGGTTGTGCGAGTGAGCGTGCGCGTGAACGGGCAGCATATCGGTGGACTCCTGGCAGCTCAGGCTGGCTGTAGAGGTCGCAGGGGTGGGCTGCCCGAGGGGGAGTGAAGTGCAAGGTCCGCCCAGCCCGAGCGAGGTGCGACTTGGGAGGGCTCCTCCGTTTTCCGGAGAGGCCGTTATGATGACTGGCTCGCTGCTCTGCTGTTGGAGGAGAGGCGTGGCAGCGGCCTGCAAAACGAATTTAGTGCTCTGAATGCACTGGTCTTGGTCACACTGAAAGCAGGTGACAGAAAGAGGATCGGGCGAAGGAGAAAACAGGAACATGGAGGTGATGGCGGATAAGGAAGAATCAAGAGGGAGTATATGAATGGACAGGGCAGGGGGGGGGAAAGGAAAGAACAAGATTTTAGTACCCTCAATAGAATGCTGGGCCCATAAAGAACTGGTACACCAAGAAATACTCAGGTGGGTAAAGTTGAAAAGTCAGTTGCTGCCTATTGATCTCTGCTTACATTCCCAAAAGTGGAGCATGTTTAAGGTATGGCCATTCTCGCGTTCATGTGGTGACTGGTTGTAAAGATCTGGAAGAGTTTCAGTAAATTGGAGGGAATTTTTCTGGCAAATGTCCATGGGAAGTTCAGATTCTGTGAAAATTGACCAGGATTTATGGGAATTAATTGGAAACTGAGGGTAATCGTAGAGGCAAAGGTATCATTTTCAAGCATTAATATAACCATTTGGTTTTGTCCTAAGCAGTCATCAAAATTGAGCGCTCGACATGCCCACGTGAGGTCATTATCGTAGCATAACAGTGCAGTTTTTTTTTTCATGCCACATTCGTGGCAGCACATTTGAAACTCAATGGCTTGCAAAAAAAAACAAAAAAAAAAAAACAAAAAAAAAAAACCTAATACCTGTATACAATAAAATATTCCCCCCAACTATACTTCAGGCTTGTGTGTTTCATAGGAGCCAACTGAATTTAGTGATTTCCTGGTTAGTCCCGTAAATTTCCATGGAAAGTTTGCCATTTAAAAATTCCCTGAATTCCGCAACGCTAGCGGTGACCCCAAGGAGCCATGATGCCACTAAGCAGCTATGAAGGCAGGCCAGCCCCCAGATGGAAGAGGTGTCAGACAAAGAAAAAAAAAACCCAGAGAAAGCATGTCAAGATATCTCACCTGTTTGTCTCAGTATCATTGACCTAAAAGATGAGATCGCAGATGTTTAACTCAAAAGGCACGGTCGTGGATACTCCACCGATGCTGTTTCTCGTTGCCCAGTTTTGTGTTGGCTAACAAAGACACGGCACTGCCACTTAAAAAAAAAAAAACCCTTACTCAACTTTCTAAAGGCCTATTGTGATACATGGGTCACACTCTGCAAGCACACTTGAGAAAACTATTGTCGGTGAACACAGTTTGTCACCATATTTCCAAATTTAAGTTAAAATTCCAAAGGCAAAGCAAAAACCCATTTGTCAACAACACCCAGAAATGCCACCAGCTAGCTTCTCTGGGCCCGAGCTCATTAAGACGGACCGATGCGAGACGTTTGGAAGTCTCCCGTGGTCTGATGAGTCAACATTTGCAAATTTATTTTGGAAATCAGGAACGTTGCGTCCTGCCGGCCATTGGCTGAGATGCAAATGTTCCTGATCCAGACAAAATATCCAGAATGTTCTTGAGAGCTGATGCTTGGGATTGGCATTTCTGATAAAAAGGAGGATGCATACATAAAATGAGACAGTCACCGAGTTGCGCCACCGTCAACAAGCCCCCAGACGACATGGTTGAACTTTGCAATTTATTGTTCCTGACAACATTCAACTTGGTGCCGTGTCAGAGGACAACACTCACGATCTGCAAAGCCTTGACGCGAATCTTCCCTCTTTTTGCAAGAGCTACGTTATCACCCAAAATGCAGTTTATGAGAGAAGCAAAGGACAATGACAATTGAACATGCTTTTAAAAATACATGTGTTGGTATGGACCTCAAAATATGCATTTTTATGTCCTACGTGTTCCTCTCCTACAATGGTGACAAAAGCATCCTACCATGTGGCTCTGTTGAGACTGCGTGGAGCCGTACACGGTGATGCCATTGGTTGGCGGCGCCAGCTGTGGCGTGTCGAGATAGACGAAGCCACGTCGGTCAATGAGACTATAAGGAGAGAGGAGCAAGATATTATTGGTGATTGGTTTTAGGATGATGAGAGAATTGTAACATTTCTCCCTAGTATGGGGAACCCTGAAACCAAAATGTTTGAAAACCCCTCCTTTAAAGGGAAGGAGCATATGAGCATTTTGAGAGTGAGTGTGTGAAGGAAGTCCTCAGCAAAGAAACAAATGCAGCAGGTTCTCCCCAATGGTCGCGTGTTTGGGATTGCGAAAGGAAGCGTTGCTTGCATAGTCTAAGGCTGACTTCAAACATTCCTTCAACGCCGGTGGCCCCCAACAGTGTTCGAACTGCGGCAGCCACCTGCGCCACGAGGTTCTTCCTTTGCCAGCTGCAAATAATTATTGTTGAGTCATGCCTTGTGAGGGCAAAGCAGCCTTTGCTGGTCTCTTCTTTGGGAAAAAACAGTTGCGAGATAGGTTGGGAAAAAAAAAATCGCTAAATATGGTGAAAATGTTGCAGAGTTGGCAACATTGCAGACACAAGTCGTAGCTCTTGCTTGCTACCCCACGTGAACTACCGTCCACACGTGTGTACAACAAATAAAAGTATCATATGTTTTAAAAGTTTTACTTCATGGACATTGTGAGGGGTGTGCTGAGAGACTGTTGACAGGCCAGATGTGGCGCCCCGGGCCGTACTTTGCCGAGGTCTGGTCTCATGTCTGTCTTTTTGCTTTTAATCACATGAACAGCCCAAGTGTGAGATTGAATCCATTTTACAGACTTTGATTTGAGATTTGTCGGCAAAGTGCTTGAAATCCATTCAGCTCTTGCAGTGGCTACGCGCAGCAAAAAAAAAGGCTGGAGGCGGCTCAAGACAAAGCAGCTCCTCACATCTGTTCTATTTTGTCAGTACCAGAGAAATGAACACCCCCTTTTCCCCGAGTGTGTAATATTTTGTACAGTACTGCTACAACGTGTAACTAAACATGG